TATAAAGCTGTCTTATATGATTAATGTATACTTATTGAATGAAGCGTAATGCGAGATAGAGAGCTCCAAGCTTCCAAGCTCGATATGTTAACGATAAGTACTTTATAACACCTCTTACTTTTTTCCGCTTGCAAACCTGTGATTAATAATGGTTTAAAAAAAAAACAAAAACAAGTACACAGCCAAACTTCAAAACGATGACAAATATAGAAACATTGTGTCCGTTAGATAAAAGAAATACGGTCGAAAGCAAATAGATTGGCTATATATATATATAAATATATATATATATATATTTATATATATATATAACGGAAGTGCATGTTTATATGAACTATATATGGACTGAGATGAAAGAAAAGGAAAAAGAAAATAATGCTGTAAAAAAAAACGAATATTTTCATAAGAATAAATATCGTAAGTCAATAATAATAATATTTAGAGAGAACATTGTATGGAACCGCCATCGATTTCTTTGCTGAAGAAAAACTAATTCTCATTGTGTATATCCTTGTGAGTCTGTCTCATAGTTCATACACTTGCAACAGTTGAACAAGATTTGCAGAGAATTTTTCCTGTGCTGATAGAGCTCAATATTGACTGGTAATGCGCGTTGAAGAAATCAAGCGAATGCTCTTTCGATTCTCATTTATGTCTAAATGCAGGATGTTCCAGATTTGTCGTGCTTTGTTTCAAATGCTTTGAACGGGCTTGAATTTTCCAGAAATTTTCTCGAAATTTATCGACTTTATTGCAATCTCTTGATTTACGAAATTTTTTAAAATAAAATCTATTTAAAATTAACTGAAAAGTAATCTAATCTTTCCTTTTGTAAATGAATTTGCTACTTTAATTTCTGACGTTATTAATTTTACAATTACGATGTACTTTTAATCGACGTTGAAAGAAGCAGTTCTTTGTTTAGAAGCTTGCGGCTGAAATGGCGACATTTCCGAGGCATCCTGTGTATCTAATATTTTATAAAACGATTGCGGGATATGTAGTTCTCTCTGTACAAAGACACACGATTTCGTTTGACACTTTTGGAGTGTTATACAAATTTTGGATGCGATCGATTCTTAAATTCTTCCTCTCTCGTGTGTGATATCTTTTCGATATTAAATTTACAACACCTTTTCGCCGTATGCAAGTGTACAAAAAGAAATATTCATGATTCCTTTCCACTTAATATTCAGCGCTATTTCAGCATACGAAGTGCTTAATAAATATGCAGTTACGTCGCGCTCAAAAGGATCTTCATCCTCCGTGAAGCTCCTTGCGCGATATAATAAATCTATACGTATAGAGCTTACACGCCGACTCGACATCCCCAAACTTCTTTTCGGTGCGATCCGTTATACTTATCTGTTGCATTATCTTACGTTGCATCTAGATAGAGCACTCTAATAACATTAGTGTATAATTAGAGTTACATTCTAATACGATTATGAAACACATACTGCGACCACCTGCCATTTCTCCGAGAAAAATGTCGCATCTTGCGAGAACGTTGACTTCTATAAACTTCTTCTGAAACTATGCGAGGTATATTTGGCATCTCTCATTAATATATACGTCTGTCCAGCTTCGTGGCACACACTCGGAAGTCGTGAGTTGTTGCATGATCTCCGAGAAGCACACCGTTCGCGGGCGAACGCAATCGGTAAAAATGCTCCATTTTTTTCGATTAATAAATATACAGACGGACTTTTTCCAGTGACAAAGAAGATGTTGGTTTTAAGCGCATTACAACATATAAAGATCTAGTGGAAGTTTCATATATCTTTCAAATTATAGGCAAAACGCTCAAAATAAAATATTTTATTCTCCTAATTTTTATTATAAATACATGAATTCAAGTTCGATTGATGGCTGATGTGATTTATTCAATTCACATGATTGTTTAAGTATTTTCAAAACGATTTTTACTGTTTAAGTAACAACCATGCCGATAATTTAAAATTGGTATTTAATATTATATTCTACAGTTTAGAAATATGTATTGTTTAAATGTCTACTTTTCAATTTTCTTTTAGACAAGTAGAAAGACACACGGTAAAATAGAATTGGTTAGGTTTAAGTATCAGATATTCAATTTATTAATCAGTTATTAATCGACAGCTATCGGTGTACAAAGTAATCTCAAAAGTACTGATAATCACTTCCGAACCTTTGATAATTATTATAGTAAGCTTCCACTGATCTATATCTTTTGTTAATTAATATAGAAATAAAGAGTAATGAATGTTCCTACACGTAGCGTAAAACAAAGCTGTAAATCAAAAGCTGCGAACTTAGCCAATCCTAACACACAATAGAATGGTGCATTCGAAATAATATCTACAAGTGTTCTCTGAATTTGAAATTGTGAAGAAATGTTTAGGACAAAAAACTTGGATAAATTTCGAAGAGAGAATGAAAATTAAAATATCTCTTCTACTAATTAATTTCTTATCGCAGAATCATCAGCTTACATTTGAAAAAGTATGTAATATAATTTTTTGGCGGGAAAATTTGAGAAGAAAATTTTCTTCGAAACCCATCTAAGCTTTGTTCTAGAGATTTTTCCATATTTTCGAATTTGCTGAGGATATTTAGATACAATTTCCGAAGAGCCACTCACACTTCATGTGCCGATGTATCGTTTATTAATCGAAAAACAACACACGATCGAATCGAAAAGGCTCGCTCTTCTGCGAAATACGCGAGTGGGGAGTAGGCGAAAATTGGGACATCTCATTTGTGCCCTCGATAGCGAAGCCGACGTGGAGAGAATCAACGAAGCCGTTCTTTTGATATGACAAAAGTTGTACAAAGTGCGTATGGAAAAAAAAAAAACAAAAACAAACGGACATTTCGATTACATTGCTATATGCCTGTATACCAGCGATTGTTATTTAAGTAAGTCTAAAAGAGCGAATTCTCAATTTTCGTGGAAAATGCCGAACAGAGTTTTCCTCGCTGATCGACAACACATGTGTCAGCTGCGAGTTGAAATAAAAGTAGAAGCTTATTTTTAGTAGCGGACGATTTAAAACCGATTTTATCTAAAACGGTATGTACATGAATTTTATACACGTATGCTGATATAACAATCAGTTTTTTTTATTCCCACTCTTGTACGTAGAACTTTATTGTCTTACTGATACTGATTGTCGGTCTTCGACTTACATTAAGACCCTTATATCGGGTGGCCCAGAAAAAGGGCGACATGGCAGAGATGTATTTTTTCCGAAGAAATTTGTAGCGCTTATTTTTGCCGAAAAGAGATTCGATTGGTGAAAATTTTCTACTGCAATTCGCAACGTAAATAAGAAGTGTTGTTTGGTAAAAATTTCTTAGGAAAACTATTTTATCAATTAAAAGATCAGATCTTATCATCCATTTCTTCAATTGTTTATTCAATCAAAATTGTCTAATTTTTAGAATATGTAATTAAAATTTTTCGGCTTATTTATCATTCATTTTGTATCGAAAAAAGATCGTCTTCTCCCAAAGAAAACATTCCTTCTTCCAATCTCCAGTTTTTCTGGATCACCTCGTATAAGAAACACACAAACACGACGAACAGAACTTTTCTTGTACATTTCGTTACACGAACGCGTCTACTCGACACTCGGCCGTTTTACATTTACGCGATAAACGTATTTTTGTACTTTCTCTTTAAATTGGATACAAGTATGTATGCCGTATCTCTCGATGCGTATAAATATATAGGATCTCATATTATATTATACGAGTATTAATTAAACGCTTACGCGCGATTTACCCGTCATTTCTCATTTAGAACGGAATAACGTTAGACATCGGTTTTAGAGCGCGCGGGGCGATCCGATAATAAGGTACGTTTACTTCGCCGGTTTTTTATATCGCACCTGTCGGTGTCGACGAGAGTAAGATTTTGTCATAAGATTGTGAATATATACATACGTTAGTTACTGATAAATAAATGTTACACGATGCAGTTTATGTAAGGAATATCCCTGGTGTTCTTTCGAACGAGCCGCATCTCTCTTTCGATTTATTTTCTTCCGAAGTAGATTGTACATTATGAAAGAATAGCTGTAACGAGAACTGCAAATTTATACCGTTGATCATTTCCAGAATTTATATATATAAAAAAAAAGAAAAAAACATTAAAAGCGACTAACTAGAATTATATTTTATCATATTTACGGATATTCGTCTGCGTTTATATAAGCCTGTCCTTTGTCGGAGAAAACATGTTCGATATAATCTGTAATATTGTTGCCTTAACAACCCTCGTTGCTATCGCAAGCTTTGACATCTATCTATTGATTATCGGAGATATATCGAACACTGCAATGAATGTAATAAAGGCATATAATTAAACCTCTTATTATTGCGAATAAAAGAATTGTGTAATCAGTTTCTTGAGAGTATCTCTCGTACTCACAAATTTTTCAAGTAAGCAATATAACTACGTATGTCTGAATTTTATATTATTTCTCCTAGTAATCAGGTCCGTTACGCTTACCACGGTAAGTTTAAGAGTAAAAATAATTCCTCCTTGTGAAAGGATCTCTCATTCTTAAAAGTTTATTTTCTTCTTTTTGTGTACAATTTTCCTCGAATTCAACGCACACTATCCTTATCTGTGCTCGATATATTTAAAATTAACGCAATTAACTCCAGTAACTCTCAATACTCTTCGTGCAGAGCATTGCAATTTAAGCATTTCTTCTCTATATAAAATGATTGAGCAAAATGCGTTGAAATCTGGGGAACAGAAGAGCAAGATTCATTTCATTGTTTTTTTTTTTGGTTACATTTCTCAACATGAATGTGCGTGTTAAAAATATTCATTTATTTGGTTTCGCTTGTCCCCCGCTTTTTCATAAAACAGCGTTAGTTCGGCCCCTTCCCCTCTTCCTCCCTCGAATCCTCGCCTCTCGTAATTGTTGATTGATCCAGAAATTTGCGATATTACTCCTTGACATCGCGTCTTTCGCCACGACTGACGATAGGTCTGCTTGCAGGGGAATCGACATATTTGTGACTATTGAGACTTGACTGATGATGATGATGATGGCGGGGCCGATCAGGGCTAAACACTTCTTCACTGTGACGATCAACCTCTGACCGCTGAAAACCTCGCACCGCTTGATTACCAAATCGATTGTGTGTGCGAATAGATGAAAACGACCACCATCGCCATCCCGTGCCTGCCACACCACCACGCATGCATATATAATACACCCTGCCCGCCATCTCCCGCCTCACAAAAACTCTTCTTGGTATACACACGCTGATGCTTCACGAAATTCCGCGTTATATATCATTACGTTGTAGAATTAATTAATTTAACATTTACATCGTGCATCGCGTCGCGCGCGATCAGTGATTACGGCTTTTATATAAAAGAAATAAAGCGCCAGTTTTAAGCTCCGTTCCCGAAACGTTCTCCGTCTCTCGGATGTATTATTTGTGTAAAATGAGTGGCGAATAAATAATTTTGTACAAATATATTTATGAAGCAATATCACATGTGCTGCGAGTATTATTCGAGGCCCAATTACGAGTCCACTGATCGCTGCATTGAACAGATCGTTTTATCAGCTGTGCTAAATAAAAATAGAAAGTTTGTGGAAATTATTCTTAAATATTTTAAATTGTGAACAAATTTTAAAGAAAGAACTGTAGAAGAGTATTTCGTATTTTTTCTTCCCTTTTTTTTTAGGAAGGCGCTTGGTTTCTTCTACGCAAAAGCTGTTCATATTTAATGCTAGCTAGAAACCTTTTATTGAAACGAATATTTGGCAACATTTTTCATTTCAGTGTCGCGCGACAGACGCGTCTCACTGTCGGAAATGGATCGATTTCGCATACGAACTGAGCGAAAGTCTCGAGTGCTGAAGTACTCCGAGTCGAAAGTATACGCCGTCGATTCTGAACAACGACAGAAATGAGATATAAATCGAATTTATCTTTCGTTTTTTTTTTTTTTAATTTATTTATTCTCTAAAGAAAGCAATAACAATATTCGTGTCTTGCGCGAATAACTTATTTATTTATCTTTCATCGATGTGTTTTATTCATATAATACGTATGTGTTCTTTTTTTTTTTTGGAGTCTCTTCAACGTGATGGACGATTCATTTCGACGACGTAGATATCCGCACATTATGTATTCGCGCGCTGATATTATTATTATTTTAAGTTCGCCTATTTTTTTTTTCGTTATCAACGAAATTCGTCAGTAATTTGTAAAATATTTTCGTTTTTTGTTATCGATACAGAGCAGGATATCAATTATCAGTAACAATTGTTTAAAGGTACACGCTATTAATTTATACGATACAATTTGTGTGTAATGATCGCCTATCTATACTGTTCTTAATTTAATCGCATTAAAATAAAGTGAAGAAACATAATGACTGATTGTTGACGAACGCAATTGGTGTTTAGCATTGAAATACAATTGTTTCTACGAAAAAAATGCACTTTGTTATCTATTATTATTATTAATTAGATCGTTTATGTATTTTATTTATGACCATGTTGTACCAGGGTTTTTAATACTCTACTTCGATCTTTCTTTTTGTATTACGTCATCGTTATAACGAGGATTAGCGATGAAAAGGATAGAAATGTAGCGTTGCGTTTAAAGACGCATTACGAGAGAATAAGTACATAACAGCTATCATAATTTAAATTATGATAGACGATTTTTACGTTAGATCGATAAGACGATAGCAATAAAGAAATAAATAAACGCCGTTCAATTTATTTCTACGCGTTTAATATTTAATAAAAAAAAAAGGGGGGAAAAAAGAAAAAAAATACCTTTTGTTATAGTGTAATAAATCGATATCTCGCATATATTTCGTAATAGGAGCTTAAGTTTGTTATACGAGTAAAGCCTATCTCCGATATACAGATGCGCGTTTTTTGTGACCTCATCGGTAGATTTTTTTTTTGTACGAAGTAGAAATAAAGAGCATATATAATTGTCGCTATGTGTCCACGCAAAAATGCATTCGAATGGAATAGAGGACGAGGAAACTTTGCCTTCTCAGATAGATTCATTTCACTCACCGGAAGCTTTACTGGGACCAATAAAACTACCTTGTAAGTCTGCGTATTTTTTTCTTCACCGATGACGATCTTAATCTTAAGAGCTCTTATATTTATGGTATATATTATAAATTAATTACTTGACTCAGCCTACAGAGTACAAAATACGTGACTTGATCTCAGACTAATAGAAAATTAATTATTTCTCCCCGCTTCTGAAAGAGCGCGATGCTAATCTTTTGAGCGATGTTCTTCACAGCTGTGCACTTAACGGAATCGTGTTAACAAAGGACAGGTTTTACATGGGAAAATTTAGAAACTTTTAATTAGCTTTCGCAAATCAATCTATCTACAATCGCGTTGACTTTCTCGTCGAATATACACACGCGGCAGCGACAATTGAACATTTTTCGTCATTATTTATGACGAATATGATAATTCGCGTATTTTTTTTTATAGGAATTGTGTCCAGTTAATTGTCGCTTTATGCGAGAAACAATTTGTTTTATCTGAACTCTGACGAAAAAAATGTTAAATAAATAAGATAGACAATATGAAAAGGAAGTCTTCGAAAGCACATGCCGCAATAATTACAAGCATCGTAATAACATTCGTCTTTTCGTTTTTCTTCCTTAGAATTTTTCTATTTTTGTAACTCGGTGATATTTCGGACGGACTGACGAAGTGCGGCTTTCTTTAGTCTTTCGAGGATGATACTTCGCCATTATTTAATTAATTAACCTATGCTACACTCGCGCGTAAGACTTTATATAATTCATTACTTCTGCAGCACAACAGTGAAAGATAACTGTTTTATTTTTTTATATTGTATGTTTGTTTGTTCCTAGTGCGATCTATAACGCAGTTAGATACGGTTTAGTTGACAAATTTATCGAATATGGATCTTGCATGATTTTTTTAGCGTCTTATTTTAACAGTCCTGCCGTTGAACTGCGACTCAGGCAGTCCGATTTATATCATTAATGGTTTAAAGATAAAGGCAATATTATATACTATCTGCAGATAGTTAAGTTGTATGTAATAATGCGTTCTTTACAATGTACCTTGCAATAACAATAAGTTTGATATTAAAACAGCATGCCCTATCCTTATTTTTTTCATCCCGCTCCTCGTGCGATGTCAGAGACCTGCGTATGTTTCGATAGAAAATATTAATTTTTATTTACGATTCTAGAATTTAAATTATTTAGTCAATTTTTTGAAAAATGTAAATTTCTCACTTCTTACAATATTTTTTACAAGACAAGTGCTAATTTAATTTATAATTTCACGAAAGGCAGATTTTAATTAACAATGAAAATTTAAAGGTATTCAATGATTTAAGAATTTCAAATATGCACAAGGCATTTTGTGAATAATTTTTAATAGATTTGATATGAAAACTTTATTCTAAGCGAGAAAAACTAATAAAATATTTGATAGCAGTTAACCAAATACGACAATTATTCATGCAAATTTCTCGCTGCACTAAAGTGTGTCATTATATTAATATTCATCGGGAATATCATTAAGGATTGAGATATTCATGGAATATTCTGTGAAGCGAGGAAGGACGAACGCCCTCCATACGTGTTTTCATAATTATTTTTTTATATTTATGCTTTGTATCTCGTACATTTGTTATATTCGAAAAACATAATAGAAAATACTCAAAAACTTACTTATTACTTATCTTCCTCTACCTCTACCGCGATTAAAACCTCCTCTGCCTCGACCGGATACCTTTCCTTTGGGCGGGGGCGATTTCGGTCTGAGCGCCTCTATCCTCTCGGTGCAGCCGGTAGTAATTTGACCATTAGCAAAGTAACTTTGATAGAGATCCGCGTTGAAATTCGTGTTTGTCAGTTCCGGGCCGACGGTGAGCCAGCCGGGTCTGATAGTGCTGTCACGACCGAAGAGGTGTAACCTGAATGTGAACAGAGAATGACGAACGATAAGATAAGAAATTATCTTCTCTCTTCTCTATTCTATCTAAACAAAATTCTATTAATTCTATAACACGCAGATCAATTAACAAATAAAATTCCATCAATCGTATCTACACATTTGCAAAATAATACAACTTGATTTAGATCACAAAGTTATAAAGATGAATTGAAGGAGAATTTCAACAATTTGTGTTTGGGGATAGTTTCGTACCTTCTTCGACCGAGGCAGAAGTGTTCGATGATGTGAAAAATTTCCACGGGTTTCTCAATAGATCCATAATCAGGTTCCTCGGATATGATTAGATCGATATCAACATTTGCATGGATGAAGTCGCCATCAGTGGAACGTCGCACTGTACCTTTTATGCCCATTAGACAGTGCTCTTTAGTTCTTTGTAGCACAGCCTTGCTGTCCAGGTTCTTGCTGTGACCCGGATTATTGATGTTTGTGCGGATCCAGCAGATGTCTTCGCAACGCCGGAATCCCCATTTCCGCAGACAAAACCGTCCCATATCCAGGCCATCGCTGCTACCGCACCACAAGAATACAAAGCTCCGATTGGCGGCTACTTCGCCGATATCCAGCTCCATTATCTGCATAGATTAATTAAATCGATAACAAAAGAATGCTTAATTTATTATCAGTTTTTTAACTCAAGAGTTAGTTTTTATTGTAAACAAAAAATCCCAAGTAGACATTTGTTACTTTATTCCTTCAAATAAACAGAAACTTTAATTTTCCTTAAGTAAAAATTTGAAGTAAATGTAATTAAGAATCTAAACTGCGAAAGACTAACTTGGTCCCAATTCCATAGTTGTACATTGGTTGCGCCGCACGTTCTCTGATACTCTTCCAGAGGTGGCTCTATAAGAATGACATCAAATTTACAATTGAGCTCTTTCAAGTTATACGACAGCAGGTCTGTTTTTAGATACATTGGTGGAGTCGCGGTCTCTGCGATCAAATCATCCTTTAACTTGATTAGCTCACGTAGTTTCGGGTATTCCTCAAATCTATCCGCCAAACCCACGTCTCTAATAAAATTTTGCGGCCGTTGACCAGTATCAATAAAATGCTGACAGTAGTCATTATGTGGATTTGACGACTGTGTTCCCTTTAAGTACATATAATTCATATATATACATATTTTGCCAATGGATGTGAAAAAAGTATAACTGACAAATATAGGTACATACTTTTAGAAATGTCGAAGAATCCTTATATACAATTTCATCTGTCGGAGTTGCGTCATCTTTCAAATTTTTTATTGTACTGTCGGATTTGTCATTGGATACTCTGCCTCTTTTTTTCTGCGTATCTTCTACATCTGTCCCTAGAATCTGTCGCAATTCATTTACGCTGGAAACTCCCAGCTACAAACAAAAGGCAAAATGTATTAGAACATCAATTATCTACAGAATATCACTGAATCTTATTTCCTTTCCAGTAAATTGTAATGCTCACCGTTTGGGCCAAGAGTTTCTTGCGTTTCTGAGAACGTTCCCAACGAGCTTGCAGCATTATTTGTACATCCTTATTCATGATACATTGTAAATGTAAATATGTCCAGTAAGTTCTCACTTTGATTCATTTTGCAAAATTATGTTATTTCCACCGAAAAATAAAATTGTGAGACAACTGGCACAAAATGTAATTTGTATTTTCTTAAAGAAGAGATTATTTTGATGTAAATTTAATTATTTACACGATACAATCGCTTAATCAAAAGAAGAAACTTATCTTATTTCTTTCTTTTTTACGAATATTTATTCTGTTTCAAACACAGTATTGTACTTTCTTCTTTTTTCATTCTCTTTTATCAATATTTCATTTCAGTTTTCGTGGAAATTTTCGAAAATTGTCTATACTGCAACGCGTTACTTAACCTCTTACTAAATGCCGACATAGCAACATGTCACATAACAAGAAGCACAGCTGCACACAACTGCTATACTATAGCAAAAGCCAAACGAGAAAATGGAGCGCCACCTATTATCATTAATCTAATTCTGTTGGTAAGGTTGCTCACTGCATTTATCACGCCACGTTATTCAAACTAGCTACTAGATCAGTGTAGAAAATACAGAATAATTTATAAAAATACAAGGCATTTAAATTCGATAAAATGAAAAGAAATAAGTGTTACGATATTCTCTACAATCTCTACCGAGTGATCACAAATTAAATGATGAGATGTGCCCAATTTAGCGAAAATCTTTAACATCAAGTTTCTTGAATAATTTTCAAAACATTAATTTAATCTTGAAGTTTTCTTCAAACATTTGATTTGAGACTTTCAAGAAATCCGTATATAAAAAATTTGATATATAGACATTTTTGATAAAAAAGAAAGAAAAATTATGTATAGATATCCTTTTTCTTTGAATCATGAATTTCACTCTTTTTTTGTATATTATTCCTTTATATAAATATTTAAATTTTATATTTATATAAATATAAAACGATAATGGATAGAAAATAAATATCTTTCTAGAATTCTATATTTATTAATTATATAAATTTATAAACTAATATAATATAAAAAAAATTATGATATAAGTCGCATTTATATAATTTTTCAGAAACTTGTTTAAATTACGTATTAAATCGTAAATTAGTAAAAAATTCTAGCAATCTTATTGCAGATTATTATCACAAAAGAACGTAAAAAGTATTTATTGCAAATTCCATGCGATAAATTCTGTTGCATATACAATTGCAGTATCATTATCATGATATTAAATACATACATTAAATATACATACTGTATGTCGCTTCGTGCGTGTACATATAATTTTGCAAATATTTGTTGAGCGAACATCTGACTCTCCACTGCAAAAATGTATCGCGTAGTAGTAGAAAGCGATTTAAATAAAACGAAGGAAATGCAGAAATGCGCGTACAATAATAAAGTAATATGCAAGTATATAAGCGCAAGCAACGGGAAAAAATACAAAATCTAATAAAGAAAACAGCGACACGCAGTGGAAAAGAAATTAGCAGCATGCAATAAAAAAAAATGCACAACTAGGTGAAGAAACTGGGGAAAAAAATCTTCTATTTTCATATTTGTTTGTACGTCCGAAGATAAGAAAGTGATACTAATAGAGGCAAACATTCATCACGTAAGAAAAAAAGGAAGAAAAAGATAAAGAACCCGTATTATGATATGTGGAAAGCAATTAGTTTCCTATACATCGTGCAAGCATCAACGCGCGGTAGAAAAGGAAATGCACATTCGGACGAAGGAAGTAAAAGAGGAAGATTCGGACGAAGGAATGGGTTGCGCGCGGAGAAGTATGCAACCGAGCGAAAGAATCAAGCGCGAGATAACGATACGGGTACTCACGTCATGTGCGTTCACCAAGTGAACGAGCCATCGTTACCGCCTTCGCCACCGCTGCCGCAGCTGCAGCATGCGGTTGGCCTTCCGCTTTCGCGTGCACACGTCAGTCGGCTTTCAAATTGACGCGCGTTCGGTACATGCGGCTCTTCCGTCGGCGCTGATCTGCCCGCATGGACCACGTCAGAAAGGTATGTATCGTGTATACTTCAATGTTATGCGGATTGGTGCATTCTAAAAGAAAATTTCACAGGAATTAAAATATTGCTTCAATGAAAAAAGTGGCTAAATTCCAGTTAAATTTTCATTCTATTTCATTCCGTTAATTCTATTTCCACTAATTCTATTTCCTATAAGTCTTATCAGAGAATTTAATTAATGTATGTAATAATTATCAATTGTACAGTTCTTAAACCCTGAACTGATAATTACGTTGTCGTTGTACCGTTGCGAATAAGGTTCCATATTGAATTTATGGAGTAGTCACAAAGGAAAATTTTTCAGATTAAATATGTCTATGAGAGAAGACTGAATTATTTTTTTTATCAAGGAACTTGTACATTGATTTGCGTATAAAAATTTTAAAAGTTTATCATATAAAATTATAAAATTTATTCAGTGATCAAAAATCTACTATCTATATATCGATAAAAATTTTTTCCCACAAATCTTATAATTCGGACACGTGCACCATCTCTGAATAGTTGACGGACCTCACGACAATTGTGAAAATTCTGTATTCCTACACGTAGATATACCTGCATCTCGCAAATCCGTTCCTGGTCCTCCGTTCTCGTAGCGCAAAATCACTTGAAAATGAATTCGTCGCGCCGCGGACGTGTAATACACGCCGCTCTCGACACGTGCTCAGGAAAACAATTTTTTTCCAGCGTTCTCCGATGAAGGTCTTCGCTATACACATACACATGCGTATATACATACATATATACATATGTACATATAGGCATACACGTATTACACATTGACGCGTTCGGTAGCGGGCGCGATGCCGACGCGTTGGTGCAAGAAGCGTGCCAAAAACGAAGATAGCGCGACAATAAAAACCGACTGAATCGGCCGACACCTCGCGTCGCGATTGGTCGTCGCTCCCGACACTTACCCCGAAAATCGGCCCGAATTCCAGGAAACGGTCCTGGGTGGGTCATACGCACCCCGCACCCCGCGACCCGGGTGACTCCCCGTTACTTGCTACCACTGCCGTACTTTGTTTACACCGCGCACCGCGCCGCCGTCGCACGCACGATCGCTCGCTCGCTCGCTCGCTCGCTTGTGCCGATTACAACGGCGGATTACAGCGCTGCCGCCGATCGAGTTGGACGGCAGCAGCGGCGAGGACGAGGACCAGACCCGGGACGAAGAGACAGAGAGACTCACCGGCGGGACCAGGACGAGGCCCCGCGACACCACGCCACCGCCTCGACAACTCGATACCACGACAGTGTCACCATTATCGTGCAGGTCAGTTCGGACGACAGTGATGTGAAGTGTGCTTGGATATCAAAGACATCCTTTTCGTATCTGGATACCGTCCTCAAATGCTTGCAACCCAGTCATTTCCTGCAACGAGCGCATCCATCTATACTTAGACACATTTTTTGGAGCAGTCTGCAACTATCTGGGTGTTTATTTTACTTCCAGGTGTTTATTTTGAGATACTCTTCGACATTTCAAACCGACAGTTTCCCACAGCACGCTGTGATGTTATATTACACGCAATACTCTTCCCGCGGTTTGTACGTCCAACTGATCCGTTACTCGCTAATTCATACTTAACGATACAATCGAGACACGTATGTACCGAATAAATTATGCGGCAAAACCCATGTATATTTTGAAATTATTCAACAGCGAAGTATTCGATTATCTAGATATCACAAAGTAAAGTACCTTTCTAAAATCAGCCTCGGACGTACACGCGCACGTTTGGTCGATAGAGCGTTATCTTCTACAAATCAAATAACATTCCTTTTAGTTTCCTAGACCTTAAGATTGCGGGGATAACAAGCGAGATAACAATTTACCAACCGTGACTTATCAACCTATCGATTTTTCGAATTTGAAAATACTGCCGACGTCCTCTCTCGACTCGGAAAGTCGAGAAAATTGGAGTAACTTTCATCGCTACAATAAATTATTTCAATATCATATCGCTGCATTGTATTCACACGCAATTAATGGTTGAAATTAGTAACAATAGGTCGTTTAATGGTCGTCGAACTTCGCCGCTTGTACCTCTCTATAGAGTATAAAATTACGTCTACGTGACTCCTCGTGATTGGTAATGCCTACGTGATGTTTACCTTTTTTTTCGTATAGGACTATGAACCATGCAGAAGCAAACAAGCCGTTTCTCGCCCGGAATAATGAAGGAATTTCGGCGAATTTGCTGCATACGGAAGAAAACGTTAAATTTTATAAGCGAACATAAGTTTATAAATAATCGCGCGAAAGTCGGTTTGTCTTCTCCGAATAGAGTCTTTAGTCCAAAAATAGAAGGAAGTATTATATCCGCTGTAAAAGGTGGCCACGTAAATTATGCGCCGAAGAGACAGTTCACGTGATTCAGGAGATCGTGATTCATGTAAATCTGATTAAACTCGTCGTGGCGTCCACGTGGACACTGACGGTGGCTGATCGCGACGCGTGATCGCATTTTTTCGCGGGCCATCGTGAACGACGTGGGAAAATTGCGTTCCCACTCTAAAAATGAAACTCTATGTAAAAATAAATCCAAACACGCGTATCGATAACAAGCGTGCGTGCAGCTAAGTGAAACAAAAATCTGCCGCATTCTTCAAACGCCATCCCGCTTAGCCACACCGATATTAACTCTAAACGGAGAACGTTGCGTGTAGTAATTGAATTCAGCGGAGCGTGCAAGGTACTCCCCCCCCCCTCCCCCGCCCCAGTCAACATATTATTTCAAAAATAATATCGTCAATTTAATTGCTTTTCGTTGGAATCGCTTCTATTTTGAATATCTTTGCTGTTGACAGCGTTGTGACGTGGGTGAGGTAGGTGGAGGTCGCGGCGGACGCGTCGCTCGTCAAACGGCAGGATGAGACCCGATGAGATGGTGGTGAATAATGGCGAGCAACGGCGGGCGGCGGAGACGATGTCGGAGACGTCGGAGGGCACCGCGACCACCAGCGTGTCCGGCAAGTCTGGCTACGAGAGCCGCGAGGAGCTGCGTGAGCTCGCGACTTTGCTAGGCATCAGCGATCCCGAGGACCTTCACCAAGAACGGTTCCGCGTGGACCGCCGCAAACTGGAACAAATGCTTCTCGGTGAGTGCGAGCGATATTCCGATTTCACATGCGCGGTTTCGATTTATCATCGTGGACTTGGTGAATGCGTTCGTGTGAATGATAGTTCGTTTGAATAGTTTGACGTGCAACAAAGTAGTCTGACCTCGGCGGCAAGTTTAATGACAATTAAAAGGAATAAAGTAATCTTAATTTAAAACTGTGCGATAATTACTACACGAATGTGTGAATCCTTAATTAGAAATCATTTTTTTTTTCAACGGTGAAAAATTCTTCTTTTGTTTTTATTTGATATTACAACGGCTGCTCCGTTTTCGAAATATTAAGGCATAAAACTTTTAGCATGCGTAAAATTGATTACATCTATAAAAAGTAATAGGCATATAATAGTGGTAAAAAGTAGATTAAATTAAATGGATAATAATCGTAAGATATATTAAATGACTTAAACACTAAGTACTAAAGTTCGCGTCAATCTACTTATCGTGACGAGAATATAAAGTGTCTCCGGTCTATCGCACTTTCTCCTAACCACAGATATTAGATTACAAACGACGGCGTATTATCACAGAAAGTCAAGCTAATAACAATCCAGCACTAAAGTCGAATAACAGGATTTATTTTTTGATAAATCAACCGAGATTCTAAGCAAGTTTTAAGAGGATAAATGTAACAAAATAATAATAAATATATGTCTAAAATAAGAGTCCTATTAATTTTCAATATAACAAAATATTATTCTCTTCCAGTATTGATTTAATATGTTAAAGTGCGTATTTGTTTTAATTCAATGTGTGAAATATCATTATTTTTATCCCGACTTTGATTTTTCCAACACGAAGGCCCACGTGGGTCTCCGCGCCACCGTATTCAGCGCTAAATTGCGCGCCGAGAATACGGGCCACGGTCTCCACAATAATGTCATCGTTATGTGTTTCGTGCTTAACCTTTCTCCGTTCTACACATACCGGGTACTCCAGTGTCCTTTATCGCTTTCATTACTTCTGTAGTGTCCATAACAGTCGAGAAGTGGAACGAGTCCCTGCGCGCGGTGTCTACTTTCGCTTTCCCGTCGAATCAACGTAGGATCAATTCCGAAAACGATTCTTTTCCGCGCTGACGAAAGCACTTGCGGTTTTGCAAAAAATTTCCCGAGCAATCGAACGGAAAGACTTTCCACGAATATAAAAATTAGGAAACTTTAACAATTTTTGTCCGAAAATTCTCTTCGTCTACCTTATCCTAAATATCGATATAATTAATTCGATCAAAAATGAACTTTTGGAAAAATCATTGCTTACTATTGCGGCTTAATCGATACAAAAGTCTGAAAGAAATCTATAATTAGAAATTAGCATGTCCTTTGAACGTCTTTTACATCTTCTAAACGGAAATATGAAATCTCGGCTGTATTCTTTGAAAACTACCCCGCACGTTGCCTGGGAACTTTTAATGTTTTTTCTTCATGAATATATTTTTATTTTTATATAAAATTGTTGATTTTTAGCAGTTTGTTCTGATTTTTTAGCTGTTTGTTTCATTAAATTTGCATTTGCGACCGATATAGTACGAACATGATTTAAATAGAAGGTTTCTTTATAAACAGGATTATACAGCAGCTGTCAAGCTCCTGTTTTCGTATCTTATAATGTCGCTCGATATCGATCGTTATGTAAACCTATTTTGCTTATTGAATATTTATGTCGATCTCTTGCGCCTTCGTATCGAAGCGTGCGACGAACATGTGCGATTATAGATTATTTAACTTATCATAAATGCACGCTAGAATTGCGTCATATCCGTGGGGATATAATAATATCAAGATAAATAAAAATAGATAAAAAAAGAGAAAAGAAAATCTTCGACTTTTTAAAAGCCGTTCAATATTTTAATTTTATCTTTGCATTTGCAGGTGATGTCAAACCGGCGGATACCTTCTTCCTTAGTGTAAGTTTTTTTTTTTTTTAATGCGATTTTAATTATCTCTATTCATAAATTATGGAATGCTAATAAGTTATGCGAGTATTGCCGAATGTTTCTGATAAAAAAAGAATTTTTTCTAAGAAATATATTTCTTAGAATGAATCGATTAAACTTTGGGTTTTTTTATAATGCTTTTATAATTGGCTATCATTTTCTTTTAATTAAAAATAAACAAGTTGATGACAAGTAAAAATAATTAGAAAAATATGACGAAGATTAATATAAATATTTAATAATATCATTATAATATCGTTGAAATATGAGCAATGAATATTGACATCTCGGTAATTTTGTATTTGCTTATTTAATCCATCCATAAATGATAAAGTCGCATCGTGAAGATGTCATTGATCGATTAGCGAGAACTTTCTATCTGACGAATGCTGACATGTAAGATGGATCGTGATAGCACATGATGCAACTCCTTTCTCTTGTGGCTACAAAAGATCTTTCCTGGTGCAAGATCAGTAAAAGTCGCCTGTCAACCGTGCTAGCTCCTCTTTATCGTTTGCTCGAGACGTTGTTTTACATCAATTTCACTTTTATACGCCAAAATTAGCTATGAAATAAATGAGCTATAAATGAACTATAAAATAAATTAGCCATGAAATAAATTATTATGAAGGTAATTTTTAGAACGTAGTTCTATCAAAGTTAGTGAATGACATCTGGAATAATACTCTTCGCAATCATCTGCTTCTGTTACAGTGTACTCATTACAAATTACCGTAAGAAATACGGTGCATCATATGACTTACGAAAAAAAAAGGAAATTGTTTATCATATCTAAATCATACATTGAAGAGATGCAAATGATACATCATTAATAACATTATTTCTGTAGCTTTCTCTCAAAAACAAAGTATACAAACGTACGATTATGATAATAACTTTCATTTAATTGCTGCAGCAACATAAAGTTGGATTTCGTGCCGACTAGCAAACACAACGAAATTAAGTTTCTCTTTTTTTATATCTTTTTTTATACTTAATTTTTAGAAGACTATAATTACAATGAGAACGGTTGATTCCTCAACCGTCAAAAGAGGAAATTTTGCCTTTGATCGATGTAGCACGATACATATCAATGTAGCGCGAGAGGATTATTGGAAATGGCGGTACGATTGACTCGACCGACTTCCTCGGTCACGCTTAGAGAATTGCGAACGTGAGCAAGGCGTCTCCTCGTCGAGGCAGCGCCGCACTGACCTTGCGATTATGCGAAAGCGAAAGAGGCTATTTTTATGTATTTTTCGTCTCTCGCGTCGCCACTCGCGATAACTCGCGTTGCTCTGAGCTGCCTCGAGCTGTTCATGCAGTACGATTCCTTTGCGAGATAACGAGCGACGATAATGTGCGCTTTCGCGGTTTCGACAATTCAATTGTCGAATGCACTTTTCATAGAAGAGGCTTCTGAAGCTTTATTCAATGCAATTTGATACCGATTCATCAAATATTTTACTAGATTCCATTACAAATTATCGACGGGGTCGTCGAGGCTAGTTGTCCCGCGTGCGCGTTTTCACGGAAGAATCGGCAGCAATCGATTTCTCAAGCGTGACGACGACAACGCACGAAAAATCTGTATTACGATGCGGAGAAATCCGAGCGAGTAAAGAAACTCGTTCTCTCCCCCGTCTTCTTCCTCGTCGTGATAACGTAACTCGGAATTACAATCATAGCGAAATGAGCCTGCAGCAGGAAGCTTGCGATCGGACGTAACGTTATATACTTTCTCCGTCTACTCTCTTCGTTTCTATTCGCGCATTCGATAACTCGATGGAGAAAACTGATTGTTTTCATGAATTGTGATCGGATGGATGCTTCTAGCAAGAATGAAAAGATAATTGGGGGGGGATCGCGTAACCGCGCGGTAATGGCGTAAGTCGGAAAGTATCACGAGGACCCGACTGCGTTCTTCATTCAATTGAATTCGGCTTGAGAAAGGGGATTTTGATGAAATCACGAGATTTATATGTATATATTAAATATGGATAATGATCCAACTATAACGATAGTAACTATATTGTACTTTTACAACCGTTTAATTGATATTATATATTTTTAAGCTTACAATTTTTCCCCAAGTTTAAGGATTTTTTTCTTACTTTTCCGAATTTCACAACTTACGTTTCGAATTGATTATTCATTCATGAAGTATTTTATGGTCCTTTAGTATCTTTTTCATACGTGCAAAAAAAAAGCCGTCCTTATCTAATAAACAGGAAGTTATTCGGACATATACAGAATTTCACGCAAAATTCTACGGGAGTTTGTTGGAAAATCAGAAAAAATACGTTAAAATTTCGTGAAAGGATCGCGCCGCTGATTCGAACAGGTCGCGCGCGGTCCGCGGGGGCCTTACGGCCGTAAGCCGTTCGCCGGGCAAATTTCAGAAAAAAAGAAAAAAAAAACAAGGCAATGTTCTTTGCTTATCTTTATCGCCGTTACGCGTTGCGTAAACGGGGGAACTCTGGAAATACACAGACCGATTATTTATAGAGCGGCTTTAACGGCACCGAGACCTCCCCACCGCGCGTTCCACTCACCCGCTTTTAAGTAATTCCATGCGGTGATACGCGCGCACCTGGTATTATCGTCGTTACATGTAAAAAAAACTTTGTGGAGCTCGCATTGCATATGAGCATAATATGGCACACTTCACGTGTGATAAATTCGCTTTTTTTTCTCTCCCTCTCTCTCTCTCTCTCTCTCTCTCTCTCCTTTTCTGCTTCTGTCTCTCTCTCTCTTTCGATGACGATACTGCTACGTTAATTATAGCACTACGGCGTAATCCTTGACCGTTGTTGGCTCTCCGATGTTGATAACAACCGGCGAGATATCGCGCACTGCTAGTCGATGTTTCACTAATTAACGCTCGCGTGCATGCTGCCTCTCCGGCGAAGGTATATTGATTTTATAGCATGCTATAGATAGTTCAAAACTCTTAAATTAGCACAAACAGTGTAGGTGTGAGGATAAATAATTGTCTTGATTAATTCTCTGATGCGTTAATTCTTAATTAGAATCTTCTGTCTCAAATGCAGAAATAAAAAAAATAATTAGAAGTTTCCTCGCTTTAATGATCCCCCTACGTCAAATTATTTTAATTAATTTCTTGCATTAAATAAATGTAATTAACCAACAATACACTTTACTATTCAGTAAGCAAAATGTTAGTCAAATTTAACTAAATTTCCTGTCAATCCGTCAACATTACCGACATTCGGTTGCTGATATTTAAATGTACATTTGAATATCGTCGACACGTGCTCATAAAATTGCCTTAAAATATTTTATATTAATCCACTGCACTTCTTGCAGCCTCACCATATTTCTTACCCGATTTCAATCGATTTCGATCAATTATAGAATAAAACTTCGCTCTTGCAGGTGGTTTTCTTAATTCTTCTTAGTTCTTACGTTTCTCTTGCGGTTGCGTTTTAATTTACCCAAAGAAGTGCAGTATCTTGTGTTACGTAAATATTATTCCGTTTCTTGCACGAGACGAGACAGCTGTTGCGTTCCAGAAATGCCATTTCTTGAACGACTTCTTCCCCGAAAAATTCGCAATTTTAAGTCTACGTGTTTGACTTTATTTACTTACAATCAGGGATGTTTAAGACGGTCCGATACTGTCAAAGTATTTTTATCAAGTTATTTTAATTTATCGTTGTTTTCCTTTAAAAATACTAAATATTCTTTTAAAATTGATGTCAACTAGATATGGATATTTGAAAATAGTATGTTCATACACAACATACATACACATATGCACATATATGGAATAATGTGGTACATATTTGATGATGCGTCAGAAGATATTAATTATATCAGACGATAATAAATTTATTTATCGTAGAATTTTTTAAAAGGATATTTATTGCATAAGATTTTTGCAGTGTTGCAATTGGCAAAAATCTAGCCTCTTTTTCTTTCTAACTCGATCACGATAACGATATTGAATTTGCTTGAGCATCCCTACACTCGTCTCGACGCCGCGCGATTTTTCACGGCTCTCAAGGATGCTTGAACGCTATCTTCCGCGCCAATAATATTTGTCAAACTCGACTGACAGCTTGTTTTTCAATGTCCGAGCGTTTTGCACGTCGATTCAATGAAAATTACGTGCTTTGTCACTCGGTATAGCCATTTACTTCTGATTAACATAATTCAATATTTATATTTCGAATGGCCGGCAACATCTAAGAGATTGTAGCTTTTTAAAATATAAAAATCTGATAAGTGTCTAAGAGCAAAACGATAATCGAGAGAAAGTTAAAATGTTAATAATAATATATTAAAGTAAAAACCGGTCTGAATAACTCAGTAATAAAAGCAACTGACAAAAGAGAGGTTCAATTCTCCGAACTTGCAAAATTATTAATTAAAAAGTAAAATATTTAATGTAAACTCTTACATACAGGGTGATTCAAAATAACCTGATGTTCTTGCAATGCCATATTCGTGAGCGAATTCTGAGACGCTTTTTTCTTTTACAAAATTTTGTCCGAAGCTTAGTTTTCGAGTTATAATTGAAAATAGGTAGCAACTTACGAGTTCGGTACAACGGGCAGGCAGGGACGCGCAATGTATAATGAGACTGTCAAGTGTTTACTGTCGTCTCATGACGCATTGCCCGTCCCTGCCTGTCCGTTGTATCGGACTCGTAAGTAGCAAACTATTTTCAATTATAACTCAAAAACTAAGCTTTGGACAAAATTTTGTAAAAGGAAAAATCGTCTCAGAATTCGCTCAAGAATATGGCATTGCAAGGACATCAGGTTATTTTGAATCATCCTGTATATGTATTTTGAATGAAAATCGTATCTCTAATTTTAGTTGCAAAATTCGCGTAATATGTTTAAGAATCGATGATATAACATGCGATTTGTTTGTCGATTTGATCGTTCGTGTAACCGAATAATTTCAAGCATGCACCTCGCACGTTCTATCTATGTTGCCACGAAGTTTAATCTATTACACGCGCGCGCGGGCGTATACGTGAGTGCACGGACACGCGCTCACGTGAAGTATTGCATAACTCACGTTCTTGAACGTAGCCCTCGATACACATCCGCCGTTCATTCGTCGAATTAGATTTGCAATTTGCTGAAGTCTTATGCATAACCTGTCGCGATGGACGCGACTAAAGTGATTCGAGCCGATGATAACCCGTATAATGATAACAGACGACATTTGATCGGAAAAACATTTCGAATATCTAAAGATTAATTAATCAAGATCAAAATGCACCAATGACGTACGATTAATTAATTATATTTAGAGAGATTTCTTCTCTCCTCAAATTATAATTTTATGACGGTCAACCGCTGCACTTATTTAAAACATTTTTTTTTCTAATTTTATCATTTTGTTAGTATTTAAATGCGTCAAATCTTGTTTGATAACAAAATGCTTTATTGCGCAAGTGAATGTATGTATGCGTGTGTTTTAATCTAATCTGGTGTTTTTTTTTTTCAAGCGATTGAATCGGAGAAAGTTTATGAAGTTGAGCCTCTTACGTGTGCAATTTTTTCAATCGCGATGTATGATATGTCAGCATTTTGCGCGTCAGTGACATACTATGTACATCGCCGATAGATTAAATTCTTATCAGTGAAGTAATATCATCCTCTCTTCAACTTGTTATGGATCACACATCGAACAGATCTTTAAAGATTGCTAGACTTCATTGACTTATAAAGGAAAAGTGTCGGAAAAGTTGAATCAACTTGAAAATTGAAAAGGACAAATGTCTTGCAAATTTGCATCTTACTCTGAATGTTAAAGTTAATGTTAAATGTTAAAATTTTCCAGTACACAAAATAATTTTATATAAGTAATTAAAATCAAATATTCGTTAAAGAATAATTAATTCTAAATTGAATAAAGAAATAAATCAATACTTTGAATGTTCACAATTTTCTTGTGTTCTTTAACTCGTTGCGCAATACATATGCAATTAAAAGGTATTTTCTTATTAAGAGGCTCTCATATTTGACTGGTTTCTTTAATCAGTGACTCATGTAAATTGAAGATAAAATCCGGAATGTATTCGCGATAACTTTGTTGCTCACTTTAATCACATACAATTTTTTATTTTGATAATTTCATTCTTTTAGATATTTTGTTTCGAGAATCATAAAATCGCTGAACTCATTTTTTTGCATTATAATAAAATTCCATTAGAATAGATGAATGAAAGTATAAAGACAACAATGTAAAGATAAAAATGTTGCAATTACTACAATTGAAACGTTCTAATGTCACGTGCGATAATTTATGGTATACATTCAAGATTTGAAAAGCATAGTATCTTATCTTGTACGTTCATAGAAGTACATATAATACCCAAGATATTTTCTGTTGAAATATGTTCCGGTACAAAAGTGTGTGAAGCAAAAGTTTTGGACACAATAGTAAAACATGCAAGTGTATTGTACATTATGACGGAATTTTTTGCTCTCTTTCATCCAAGAAGATAAATTTCTTGAGATCTTTGTTACTTTGTTACTTATTTATACAAGGATTTTCTTTGTCTTCTAAACTTGTAAATAAAAACTGAAATTTTAAACAGTTTCAAAGAGTAAGATTTATGAGATTTTAAAAGAAATTTGAAAAAGAAATGAGGGGTGTTCGGAGAAATGGACGTGATGTTAAATATTCATTATTAATTAGTTACAAAGATATATGATGTCAAGCATTAGAAAGTTACGATAAATAATTCTTTTCTGATATTTTTATTGAAGAAAAATTGAAATCCAAATTAGTCGAGCAATTTGTCTTTATAACTAAAATTGTAAAAAAAATCAAGATTGTGCGTTCTTTTATATCCGAAAATCTGAAAGCATGAACGTTCAGATTGAATATAATTGATATTTCGTGATAAATAATGTGTCATTTTCTATAAATCAAATACAAATGGCTATCATCCTTCACGTGGCACACAAAATAATGTGTATTTTTAACGTTTATAAAAAGTTCTTTCTTGAAAGAAGTCTCATCTCGCAGCAGGATATAATAAAAATCCTTGCTTTCGTTTAAAAATGTAATATACTACTAGTACCCTCAATTAAATTTGTGCACAACAGTAGACAAGTAGGTTGTAACATTATTTTTCGACGAGTTTCAGAAAAATCAAATTTCTAAAACACCGCAAAATGATAAAATTGCCCTCGTCGAATTTCGGAAATATCGTATAAAAATCGTAGAATTATTTCGTGATCATCGAATTTTGCAAAAATTGTAAAATTCGCAGTTTTTGCACAATTCAAAACTCTTCGTTAGAAAGAAAATAATGCAACTTTGTTATTCACAATCACGTGATTAATTTAATGTTAAGTTCAAGCTAATAAAAATTACGAATTGTTTCACAAACCGTATGACGAAATTTTGAATCTTGTGTCGAAACAATTGGAGGGAACAATCGGAAACGATTCGAAACAACTCGCAGCTACTCGAAATTACGTGAACCGACTCGAAAAAAAAAAAAAAAATGAAAAAATTAGTTACGGCGAACAGCGAGACCTACGTGAATACGGAATTGCATGTCATTAAGTTCGTCAACCGCTTCGGACTTACCTTCGTAAGGCAGTAACGTCGGGGTGGAGGAAGTGAAGAGAAGGGGTTTGCGTAGGCAGGGTCGCGATGACGAGAGCAACGTGGTGCGCAGTGAAGTGGAGTCGCTACTCGTGGCGGGAGTAATAAAAGGTAGTGGGAGACGGCTCGACCGGACTGGCCGTTATATTATCTCGTGTTAGTCAGCCAGTTTCCTTTCGTACCAGTGATCTCGTAGTAGGGAGACAGAAGTCTTGGCTTGCAATCGTGGCACACCAGCCTATGCATTTGCTAAAAAAATTCGAGAGAGGAAGGTGAATGAGCCGACAAAATCGTGACGTTTCCAAAGTGATCCAAGTGCATCGGAGCCCGGTAAAGTGGAGTAGAGTGATACAGGAAGTCGTCCGATAAACCGTAATCACGGTCTGAGAATTGATTAATCAGTGGCCTTCGACACAGTGCCTGAATAGTTCGCGGCCGAATCCGAATCGCGTTGTCGAAGATCGATAGATCGGTTGCGAGGTCGACAAACCCGCGGAGACAGTTATCTCCGTCGAGCGGTGGAACCTCAGTCAGCTAATTAGCGACCGCGCGATGTTCCGGGATGTTTTACCGTGATCAGCAGTGACCGCAGTGAAAGTAAAACCGGTGTCTGGATTCTTCCGCGATTAGAGCCACTTTAACAGCTAAGAAGTCAGCCGAGTGACCCGTTATCTTTATCTCGAAAGTGATCCATTTACCCTCCCTCTCTCGGAATCACACCGTGTCGTTGTCCCCCCTTCAGGGTTAATAGTGACTAGTGTGGAACGTGCGTGGATTCTTGTCTCTTTAGTTCGTATTTGTTTCCAACCGAACTTCGATCATTTTAGTCTTGTTCGATTTCTTCTTTTTTCTATTTCTCTTCGACCTTAGTGCAATATAAAAAAATCGCCGATACAGGATATCAACGCTTAAAGGACACCGGCATTCAACAAAAATGACTGTGGTAAAATAATTGTCATAGTTCGAGATTTAAAATGTTTGTTACTCGAAATGCAAGTTGATAACTGAAGGTCATATTCGATTGGTTCCGGTTGAGTTTCTTTTCTAAAGACTGTACGCAGTGCGGTTTCAGGTTGAAAATCAAATTCAAAGTCACGTTTGACACTAAATTTATGAATAGCTGTGAAACTAGAAAGTTAGCGTTAAGTTCTAATTGATAATAATAAAGGCTAGTTAATTTTAATAATTATTATTTAAAGTTGAAGAATAGATGCGGATAATCCATGACTTTTAATTTTGCGATTTTATCTCAAATTTATGCTTTGATGCAGTTCGAGTTCTCTTCAAAGTTAAAAGTCATCTGCAGAAGTTCACGGCTCAAAATAATTATCGTTTGTCCAAAATTAGAAATTACATGTGACTAATAATTTAGAGAGCTAAGGACTTGCCAAAAATTAGAACCTGCATACACACACAAGAAATAATATAAGTACTCTTAAAAATTACACGAAATCTTTGACGATTTTGGAGTCACTTTTTCTTCGGCAAAAAGTTAATTAAAAAATCATTATAATATATAAGGACTAGGCTCGTATGATATAAATCAAATTAATATAAATTGAAAAAGTTAATTTACGTGTCGATATAAATATTCAGCTTTATATATATTATATATTATATATTAAGCTGAATATTTAATATTATAATGAATAAATTTCACGTGTATTGAAGCAAAGATTGCTGGAAATTATTAGAAAAAAGAACTACATTACGATCTGCGAGCTTAATTACCTACAATCTTGTAATTTATATTCATTTAGATTGTTAGTTAAACTTTTATTGCAAAAAAGTCGATTTTACATTAATTTAAAAATGTTTTATCGCAAGAAATTAAATATCGAGAAAATCTATAAAAAGAGAAGCAACTAGAAAATTGATAAAAACCTTGAACTGATAAGGGCGAGCAGTTTCTTGAAAGCTGAACTTCACTCAATGTACAATGTTCTGATAAGTAGAAGCTATCAATGAGATTAAATATTTGTGAAGGTTATGCGGAAAAAAAGAGATAATCTGAAAATTGATAAAAAGCTATAAATCTGATGAATCATTATCAGATGAATATGTATGAATAAATGAGGATTGATATTTTAAAAAATACAATGAAAAAAGATCAAGTTAAAAGACGAGAAATGGAAAATACTCCGAAAATTTCCAGAATCGAATGGTACACGTGTTTGCATTACTAAGCATGACGATTTCTACATGAAAAAATTATTTAGTGACTCGTGATTTTAATGCTGACTCTACATTGTTGCAGGTTATGGAGAGAACGAATACCATCGTTACGTGGCCGTCGCGACTGAAGATCGGAGCGAAGTCGAAGAAAGGTATGATAGCTATCGATCGCGTGATCGTCTGACGTAAACAACAGACTCGAGCCATCATCTTGATTGGTCATTTTAGAAAGGGTCGCGTTTCAAAAATGTTGAAAATGGATTACCATAGTATCATGGTATTGTTTTGCACGTTTACATAGTTTACTTGGTTTTCAATATTATTCCGAAAATATACGAAGTTTCATATAATTAATTTGATAGCGGTTTTCTAAAACTCACCTTACACTATAATTATTGTAATTATACTAATAGCCGAAATAAGATCTTTATTCATGTTCTATAAAAAGATACTATTTTAGTAATTAGTATAATTTCCATAGTAAAATTAGATGTTAATGAAATAGCTTTAATTGTGTGTTAATGATACCAAATTTATTTCATGAAAACATTTTGTCTTTTCTGATGAATAAAGATTCGCGGACAATGCCCTTTCTAAAATAGCTGATTCATTTCACTTGCATTTAATATCGTCAGCATGATTATCATTTGAAAAAATCCACTGACGAATGAAAAACTTCCACGGAAATCAAATATAATCAAATAATCATATCTTCTTTTTTGTTTAATTTTAAGCGGGTTTAATTTAATTTTTTAAAATTATTAATATCGAAAAATTATGATAAATAATAATCGTTGAATTTTTGAAGAAGCAATATGTTATTAAAAAGTAAATTTCCTTCTTTAAGGTTAAATTGGCTTAGAAATATAGTGTGAAAATTTTAAGATAACTGCGTTTTGCTCGTGATTTAAGAATCGTAAAAAATAAATGAATAATAAAATCGTGCAAACGGAAATATTGAGAGTTTGAAGGCGACGCAAAATTACGAGTTGTATGACCTTGGAAAGCTCATAGAATATGCAAAAATCACTTTTACGAGTCTCCGTGAATTCTGTGCATGCGGATTCGCGCGTAGTCATGCAAATACGCGGATTGCGTCAATGGGTCGTGCCTCTTCGTCAGCTGACGTCTCGCGCACGTTGCTTTGCGATCTAATCTATTTAAAGTTTCGTAGCCGGCGCTCTGTGTAATCGTACACCGCTGAACAAAAATCTGTACACTGCAAAAGTTTTGACACCAATTCAACCTAACCGAAGCCGAAGCCGAAAATTAAACAGAAGTTTTGATAGAAATTTAACTTTGGATTTAATTAATATTTTAAATTTAGAATAATTTATCAAAATTTTCATTAAAATTATTCCGTCCTATAGATATTTTTGAGATTCTCATCGAGTCTCTTAAGATAGAAGAGAAAAATAAAGAGTGATAATCTTATATTTCATAATATTATTTTGACCGTGTGCTTATTTGGAAGAGTACAACTTTTTAGCGACTTATTAAAAAAGATATTATAAAGAATCACTAAAATCTTCATACAAACAGGAAAGTTTCCGTATTTAACTTCGAGGTCCGAAGAACGTGATAAAAATTTGAGAAGTTTTCGAAGAAACCTCGAGTCACGATTAATTTGTTCGTCCGAGTGTTTTTTACATAAATTAGAGATTAATATTTCGTCACTTATTTCTTGACAAATAAATTACGACATGTGAATCGATCCGGCATTTTGCTTGCTCGGCGTAGCTCGGCGTGGAAATTTTTCGGTGATTCATCCCTTCCTCGTGACCTAAACAGCTGTTGCATCCTTCTTTCTCTATCTCTTTTTCCCCTCTCTTTCGCGCTTTCTTTTTCTTTCCATTGTGAATCCGATCATGCGTGGCAACCTATGTAATCTGGTATAAATAAACTCGCGTATCTTGCTGCTCGAGACTTCAGATTATCATTAGAAGCGTCCCACACGTACGCATCTGCGTTGCAGATGTATGTTATGAATTATTGCGAGCCATTCACAAGTTTCATTACGATCATTCTACTAATTCCTTAGATGTAATTGTGGAAACGATGACCACTATTCGGAATCCGTTAAACTTCACGGGGAGAATTTACTCGTGGAATGCTATTACCCAAGGAATGTATTTGATGCATCTTGTGTATCTCCATCTTTGCAGAGAAACTTCATTTTATATAAAGTATTCAGAAATTATCGCTTTCGTTTATATCATAATACATATTTCTTTTTTAAATTTCGAAAATTTATTATAATAAAATTTTAACGAATAACCTAATTAAAACAACAATAGCTAGGCTTTAAAAAAAAGTTTGATAAAATGTTTATAAAAATTCCAAAAATTGACCAAACATTCTTTAACCGTAAGAAACTTTTCTGCGACATTCCGCGATGTTACGAGTAACATTATTCATAGGCGCGAAAATAAAATTTACATTCCGCGGCAGCGACTAGGTCAAATTGAGTCAGATCATGCACTCTTTACGGTTAATAGATATAATATTATCGAGTTATCTCTTCCGTATCGCGATAGGATATCTCCTCGCGATGTGATCCGTTCTCGCAAATTTTACGCAGCAAGCGAGATTCCAGTCTAGTCAAACCAGCCGTATAATTGTCTGCAATCGAATTAAGTGTCAATCAGTATCATGTAGCCGCCCTAATTCCCCGCGCGAAGACATCGATGTGCTTCGAGTCACGTAAGCCACGCTGGTTTCAAGTTTAAACTCGAGCTAAAGCTCTATGTATATACCTTTTTTGTGGACGTCTGCGATATGTATAATTCATGAGATGAAAAGATATATTTCATAAGCAGAAATGAACGAAAAAGAAAAGAGCAAAAATAGAAACGACAAATTTAAATGAGAAAATTATAAAAATGTAATATAGAAATTAAATTTTAAAAATTAAGTACTAATTTAATTAAATTATTTAGCACTTAGAAGCATTAAATTTTTCATTTTCGTGAATTCTGCAAATCTAAAATAAAGTATGAGAAAGATGGAAAGATAAGGAGCTTAGGTTTTTTTTTTAAATTGAAGCTATAATTACTTCGAATTAAATAACTAGTTTTCTGTTTGCACGCCATGTCTCGCAGTCGTACATTTCACAGGTATTAATTGATGCGTATTTTTGCAGACCAAATAAGAAAACTCGAAAACCAGATATTGCGTGATTTCATGTTAGTGCAGTTTCACACAATTATACGATTGGTTTAATTTCCGATCGAGACCGAGCAAAATTAATAGGATTATCGTAAGGTTGCTGGAGGGGGGATGCTTTATACCGCTTAATTAAATTCGCTTTAAGCTTATAGTGCACAGATTCTTCTCGGAAGCCTGTTTAAAAGGTAACCGATAACCGTGCACACCAAATCGATAACACAGACGCACACGATTCTAAAATTTGAAAATTATCTGATGATTTGTGAAACACAAATTCAGTCTTTGTCAGAAATTATCAACATTCATTATCTTTGTCATTAAAGTTCGTTTTTATAAATCGTTAATTCTACGTCATTGTATTTTCAAATGTGTGCACCCGTGTGTGTGCGCGCGCGTGTGTGTGAGGTTATTATAATTTTTTTCTTATGTGCTTCGTTGTTATCACAGTTTTCACTCATATATTTCATCGTTATCGTTGTTTTTCTCGCATGTGCTGGCCGTGAATTTATCGCAA